AATAACCATATATAAAATATGATGCAATCACAATCAATAAAATCAATCACAAATTGCAATCACAATCAATAAAATCAATCACCTTGTTTGATTCTTTCAACACAAGGCCAGATTAACACAAATAAAGTTTACAAGAAAAATATGTATTGTGCTAAAGAGAGATTTAAATGTCATATGTGCATGTAGAAGAGACTTAGGTAGGCCTCCCACAAATGGGTCAAATAACTTTTAGCGACTTAGGTAGGCCTCCCACAACTGTGTCCCCATGGCATCTTGCAGACTGACGCCATCATCATGATCAGTTTGCCCTTGAGTCAATTGCGAGAAACCATCATTTCTGTCAATTACCAGTTGACTCTCAACCCTCCTTCGGAAACGCAGCTCTCTTTTGCTATCGGCTCCTCATGTCGTCATGATATAGTTGTGCAATACTGCACATGCAACGACTACATCAACCTTTGTTTGTAAAGGATACTGCATTTGATTCCTGAGTACAGGAAATCTGGCCTTCCAAAGCCCAAATTTCATCTCGACCATATTTCTAAGCGTCGAATGCCGCTTGTTGAATAACTCCTTGTGATTTTGAGGAGCTCGTGAGCCTGAAATAAATTCGTATAGATGGTAACGGACTATTCGATATGGTCCTATGAAACCATGCATAGTAGGATAGCCACTATCAACAAGATAGTATTTTCCTGTTCCACATTTGTATAATGAGTATATTATAGGACCAAATAATACACTGCCAAATATTGTACAAATCGAAGCAACGAAAAATAATGTACTGGAGTTACTCTCAAGCACTGCAAGGCTACTGTGTTCATTACCACTTATGCCATATAGGACTTTAGAATCTGATGTGCAACCTTCCCAACCTGCAAATACATAATGGAAGTGCATGTTGAAACCATCCGCAGCCATAACATTCTGGCTTAGAAACTTTTTCTGTTTCGAAAACGATTATGCAGTCGACTACGAACTCGAGCAGGGACATGAGTCACGTCAATAGCTCTGACACAATCCTATTAAGAGAAAAAATCATACCATTATTATATATTAGTTCTTATTGGATGTGAGAACGATAATGTGGATTACTTGACATGCCCATACCTTGAAATATGGGTAAAAGCGTAGTGTATCACCAACAATGTGGACATGTGTTTCATTGCTTTGTGGTTGTAGAAACGAGGGTTCCAATTCTAAGATTGCTTTTAAAACTCTATGAAAGAAATAACTTATGGTTTACCCTAAATGTTGGAACCATTCCTGAACCATCCTATTTTGTTGATCATGTGTGACAGTGCTTAAAAATATGGCTACTCATTAATCAACTGCCAAATATCTTGTATCTGTAATGTTTGTCCTCTCCTCTAACAAATTACATAGATTAATAAAAGCACTTTTCTCCATTCGTAACTTGTCAAAGCACTTACGAGGTTGCCTTGACAACAAGTATTAGACATAATTGGTCCCAATAAAAATTGAAGTATTAACACGCCCCCTCCTCATTTGGGTAGTGATATACCAATATGCAATGCAACATGCTGTCTATGCAGTACCTAATATTGTCACCAACCGAAGCCGTTGGGGATCCATAAATACAAATGAAAGAAGTCATCTACATCCATAAAGCAAACCGTAAAGCAATCTTTGACATTAAAATCAAAGAAGCAATCCACATGCATATTTATAACATGCAAACCATAAAGCAATCTTTGACATTAAAATCAAAGAAGCCATCCATATGCATATTTATAACATGCAAACCATTAAACAATTTTCAATCAAACCATTATATGAAAAAAGCCATCCACATCCATAAAGCAAACTATAAAGCAATCTTTGATATTAAAATGAAAGAAGTCATTCACATCTATAAAACAAACCATAAAGCAATCTTTTAAAATAAAAGAAGCCATCCACATCCATAAAACTAACCATAAAGCAATCTTTGACATTAAAATGAAAGAAGTCATCCAAATACATAATTACAACATGCAAACCATAAAGCAGTCTTTAACATTGAAATGAAACATAGTCAATCAAATATCTATTGGAGGTGTTTCATCTCCCTATCCAACTAAGTCCTTTGCATCCTTTGATCCTCCAAGTTTAGTAACATCTCCGCCTTTGTAGAATCTTGGAAGATCGTTGTCGCCATTAAAAGGACGTCATCACCAACTTCATCTGCTTTCTACATGCCTTCAACAATCTTAAAGGCATCTCACCTAACCTTGGATGGACCATCCATCACAGGAGTACTACTGTTGCTTGCGGTGTCACATGCCAGCATATTAATGCTCTGGGCCATCTCTGTCAAAAAATAATTAAAAATAAAATAATATAGAGACATGACATTATGATTAGGGTCATCTCAGCCGTCACAGTTGGATAGGGGAAAACATATAAGTTTTATGTTGTAGGGGAAGCATAGAAAGGTTGCCCATTAGATTATACAAATGGGCAAACAAAAACTCTTATGTCGCCATGAACAACTAAGAGAACGTGAGAAGGGACAGAGAGATTGAGAGAGAGGGATAGGAAGGAAGCCCGAGTTAAACCGGCTAGTGTGTTGGGTGATCTGTTTGCAGTGTTAGATCTCGGGTTCCATTCCTATTAGGGTAAGGGGATATTTTCTCCACTGAGCTATGGGAAAAAAAAAAAAAAAAAAAACTTTTTTAAATGTTAAAAAAAAAGGAGATTGAGAGAGAAGGAGAACACATGACCAACTTCGTCTAAGCACCGGGTAATCAAAATAAGTAAAAAAACGATGCTCACTTTTCCACTCAAGATTTTATCAAAACATACAATCCCAATTTGTCTTTTAAGTGTTCATCTAGACAAACGATACCATTTTTCATTTTAAAGTTAAAAAAAAGGTAAAAAATATAGACGACACCAGCTTGATAGCCTGATCCAAAAAATTTGAGACAATCTCTCTCTAAAAAGTTTAAAATAATTTTATTTCAAAAACTTTAATATCACTTCTCTCTCTGAAATTTAAAATTAATATAGTTTCTCTTTCTAAAAATTTTATGATACTTCCTCTCTCTAAAACTTAAAATTTGAGATAATTTCTTTATCTAAAAGTTTTTAGATAGTTTCTCTCTAAATTTTTTTAAATAGTTTCTTTTTCTAAAATTTGATATAGTTTCCCTTTGTAAAATTTTAAGATACTCTATCTAAAATTTAAAATTTGAGATAATTTCTCTCTAAAAAATTTGATATAATTTCTCTCTAAATTATTTTAGGAAGTTTCTCTCTTTAAAATTTTAAGATACTCTCTCCAAAGCATAAAATTTGAGATAGTTTATCTCTTTCATTCGTAGGGGTGTTTTGATAGAATTAATTGTATTTGATAAAGTGTAGGGCTCTGGTATATGAAAATAAACCTACATAAATACTTCCCTACCTCAAGTGATGCGACTCTATTTTTATATGAATTGGTCAAATTTGTAATAAAAATTTTTGCCATGAAAAATAATGTTTTACCAATGGATAGTATAATTTATGAAGTATTTTCATATCTATCAAAGGTGCTCTTAATTCAACCAGGGCCAGGCATAACTTTTTTTTGTGTCCGGAGATGCACTTCTGTTGGCGACGCTGACGCCCAAAGCATCCATCTTAAAGTTGACTCAAAACAATAGTCGTCCCACCAAAAAGAATAAAAAGAAAATTACAAAAAAAAAAAAAAACTTAAGATGATACTTTCTATGCAACTTAACCCAACCTAACTTATTTCTCTCATTTTTTCCCCAATTTTGATGTAAATGCCATTCCTGCACACAAAAATCATTTCAGCGCGATTTGACATTGATTTTTGGACGCAGTAGCACATTGCCCGTTTACACCATCACATTGCCGGAGCGCATACCGGACTCCCTAAGACAACTATCATAACATTGCCGGAGCGCATACCGGACGCCCTAAGACAACTATCATACTGAAATTGAGTACAGTCGAATCGCGCTTTACATAGTATCGGAGCCCTGAAATCCAGTAATATCTACTGGCGAACCGCCTTTTAAAACTACCAGACCGCCCTTTGAAACTGCCAGACAGCACTTTGCAACTACCGGACTACACTTAACAAAGTGTCAGAGCACTACTGCTGCATCGCACTTAACACAGTGCTAGAACACTACTGCCTGAACGTATTTGCACAGTGCTGGAGCCCTACTGCCGGAACGTACTTATACCGTACCAGATCCCTATTTTGGTGGGATAGAGGAGATAGAGGCGTAGGTAAGGTAAAAGTAAGGAGTGGTTGTTTAGGATTTTTATTTTATTTGGTTGGAGGTATTGGCATAAAAAGTATATTTTTTTTTTTAAAAAAAAGTTAGGTTGAGATAAGTTACATCAAAAGTACAGTTTGTTTTTGTTTTTATTTTTGTTTTTATTTTTTTGTTTTGTTTTTTGTTTTTTTTTTCAAAAATAAAACTACCGGTCTAACTTATCCTTCAAAACGTTTCTTTTTTTGTTTTTTAATATTTTTTTCAATCCTCATATTAGACCTTCTAGAAACAATGAATTTAAATTCCATCGCAAAAATAACTCATGGCGAGTGGTCGCACATCAACCGTCTTTGCCGTACCTCCGAATCTTGTCGTCCGCATGGGCATAAAGAGAGCATCTTCACGCCAGCACGTCCGGACTCTAGAATGGACCTAATAAGGACAAACACACAAAGTAGGAAAGTTCAAAGTAAGTAAAGCCTAACCTCATATTTCATTGAGAATTACAATTCAAGCATCCAAAAACCGATCATCTCACCTTTAAAATATTAGTTGCGAAAAAATTTAAGATTTTAAGCTTTAAAAGTTATATATATTCTAACAAATAATCTAGACCACATATTTTACTTTAAAATAATAATTATCATACATCTATAAGATTTGTACCATCTTTTAGTTTCAAATTTTATTTTCGATGTTAAAAATTAATTTCGATCTATCATCAAAATTTTTATTACCCACTGCAATTTATTGGAAAAAAACCATGATGATAATGAAAATATCAGCGGCTAAACAAGAATTTGAGGTGAGACTTTATTTTGTTTTCATAAAACCTGGGCGTTATAGAAACTTCAATCCCTGTAGGAAAAGCAAAGCCACACTTCACCTCTCCCTCTCCCTCTCCCTCTTAATTATTTTACAGGCGTCCCTCTCTCTCTCATGACCATGGAGCAGTCCTTTAAGCTCTTCCTCTTACTTCTCATTCACATTCTCCCACTCAGGTCTCTCTGCTCCCCTGTGCCCCCAAACTTCCCACCCAACGCCCTCCCCACTAAGTCAGGCTACCTCCCCATCAATCCCACCACCGGTTCCGCCATGTTTTACGCCTTTTACGAAGCGACTCGACCCACAACACCTCTGCCCACCACCCCCTTACTCGTCTGGCTACAGGGAGGCCCCGGCTGCTCCTCCATGATCGGCAACCTCTTTGAACTCGGCCCCTGGCGTTTCTCGGATGGCTCTTTCGAGCTGAATCCCGGTGCTTGGAACCATCTCTTCGGCCTCCTCTTCCTTGACAGCCCAATTGGCACTGGGTTCAGCGTCGCCCCACAAGAAGAAGAGATCCCCAACAACCAGACCAAGGTCGCCCGCCACCTCCACATCGCCCTCACCTCTTTCCTCCTCTCGAACCCTCCGTTTATTTCCCGCCCTCTTTATATCACTGGTGAGAGTTATGCCGGAAAGTATGTCCCTGCAGCTGCGTTTTACATACTCCAGGAGAACAAGGCAGGACAGAAAACCAAACTGAACTTGCGAGGCGTCGCAATTGGGGATGGGCTCACGCACCCCGAGGTTCAGGTGCAGGTGCATGCAGACACGGCCTACTTCATGGGCCTCATGAACCGGAGACAGAAGGCCCATTTGGAGGAGCTCCAAAGAGCGGCAGTGCGCTTGGTCCGCGAGCAACGGTGGGCGGATGCGACCACAATGCGTAACGAGGTGCTCGACTGGCTGCAAAATGCAACAGGACTGGCGACCCTGTACGATCTGCGGAGGCAAAGGACTTATGAGACAGAGCCAGTGGGGGAGTTCCTCAGGCAGGAGAAGGTTGCAAAGGCATTGGGGGTGAAGGAAGGGGTTGTGTGGGAGGAGTGCAGTGGGCTGGTCGGGGGCCGCCTGCACGAGGATGTGATGAAGAGTGTGAGGTGGATGTTGGAAGCGGTGGTGAGGGAAATTAGGGTTTTTCTGTACACAGGGGAGTTTGATTTGAGGGATGGGGTGTCGGGGACGGTGGCATGGTTGGAGGGGATGGAGTGGGAGGGGTTGCAGGGGTGGATGGCCGCCGAGAGAGATGTGTGGGTGGTGGGGAAGGAGGTGGCTGGGTACATACAGACGTGGTCCAACCTCACCCAGGTGGTTGTGAGGGGGGCAGGGCATCTCGTGCCTGCTGACCAGGCGGTCAATTCGCAGGCCATGATCCAGGACTGGGTATTGCAAACGGAATCGTTCGGAGGCAGTGGCCGGAAACAGAGGACCAAGTTTAAAGGATCTCGCGGCCGGAAACAGAGGACCAAGTTTAAAGGATCTCATTGACACCGCCACCCCCACCCCCACCCCCAACCCCGCTACCACCACTCTCAGTACCAGAAAAAGAACAAATTACTTGGGACATCATTGGGAGCACTGGACTGCGGAAACAAGATTGGCGCTGGTGTTGAACTTAGAATAACTGCTCACTTCACGCTTTGTATGATTATTCATTCTAAATACTGAGCCCCCTTCCAAAAAAAGCATTAAATTATGAAGCACTTTTAGCAGAATGGCCAATTGCTTGCTGATCCAAACTTCTTTTCTTCTTCCTCCTTTTTTTCCCTTCACTGTTAATGGCAGAGCCAAACCTTCTCTCCATGTGTTGAGAACTGCTGGTGCAACCATCTATTTGATGGCTTTGAGCTATTTCAGGGGGGAAATGTGACATGAATACTTTGCTTCTCATTTGTGTGCAGAGCTGTGGCATTCAGAAATGTGGAAGATAATTGATGGAAAAATCTCAAAAGAAATTTAGATTAAATCCTAAGTATCAACCATTATTGGGAGTTGGTTTACCTTTTTTTAGGTAAGGTTTACCTAATTTTTTTTAATATTGGAAGACGGTTTTTTTTAATTTTCTAAAGGATTTGGGGTCTCCTATTTTCTAATCTGAATTTTGGGATTTTCTATGGTTGGATTTTTTTTCCTGATTTTTTCTAATTTTATAGGATTTATATACGGTTTTATCCTATTTTTTGAGATTTATTGGAATTTTTCTAATTTCTAATGAATTTCTTATGGGGTGTTTTCCTCTATTTTCTAATGAACTTCCAGATGATATTCTAGGATTTATGGAAGGGGCATTTATAGGTTGAAGTAGGGTTATAGTCGAGATCAAATCGATTCGGTCCTAAGGTCCAGATTCAGTCAAAAAGTCTTAGAATTTTGGTTTTTTTAATGGAATATTCACATTTTTTAACCAATTTGGAATCTTTTAGAGAGCTGCCCACCACCTCGGGTCCATTGGGTCACATGAGGTGCGGCCTGGACGAGGAGTATTTTTATCTTTTCATACCTTTTGTCTTCTTGAGCTTCTTTCACTATGTATGTCTTATCCGAGTGATTCTTGGATCGTTGAAAAGCTCTCGGGATAGATTTCTAATGATTTTGGGATTAATTTAACTGAGTTGAGGTGTACTAGGGTCTTCTAGGGCTTGTGTTGTCCTTAGGGTTTAGAATCGGGGTTTTTAGAAATTTCCTTAACTAGATTTTCGAAGGGGTGTTTACAAATTTTTATTGGTATAAATTTCTACTTGCAATGCCTATGGATGTCACCCTTTTGGGTGAACCACAAAAATCTTTATGTTTATGTGGTGTGTATGTTTTATGCTTTATTTCTTGTATTATGATTCATATTCTCGCCTATTTTTGTTTCTAGCTAGATAAGTGGGATTCCCCATTTCCGCATCTAAGAGCTCTTAAATCCTAAGTGGTATCAAAAGCATATGGTTCAGTACAAGGCTAGTCTTTATGCATTTGGTTGAAAAAAACACACATGGAAAAGTATGCATGTGTTTTATTTGAAGTTGAGAAATATAATGGGAAGCACAATATTTCCAACAAGGATGATAAAGAAATTTACTAAGTAAAAGATGAATAATTCATAAAGTTATCCAATGTATGTTGGCATGATGAGCAGGTGATTTTGATATCAAGGTGGTGATTGTTGGATACTATGATATCTAAAATTACCTAAAATAAGAAAATCTCATATTATACATGATTGTGATCAATATTTAAATTCTTGTTGATAAGTTTCCTTTGTATCTCTTGGTTATATCTTTTGGTTTTTAAGATATTGTAGGCACCCCATTTTAAATCTGGTAAATTCTATGGTTTTATAAACCGTTAGGACCACGTTATCCTAGTAGACCCAATTTAATTACCCTAAAACTACTCAAATCCTATCCTAATTTGAAGTAGAGCCCAAGAGCTTTTAATAGTCCAAGAATCGTCTGAATTGGACATACAGATAAAAAGATATAATAAATAACAATTTAGTCCCTGTGAGACCCAATTGTCGGACTATGGGCCGGGCTGTAGCAGGCTCGAAAGTCTCATACAGGGGCTGATGATGCAGTTAACGTATCTGATGATGTAGTAAACATGTATTATTTAATTAGGTAAGGCTAAAACTTCAAGATAAATTCAAAACAATTCCGAAAAAACTCTAAAAAATTTAGGAAAAATTGCCAATTGAATCTTATAAGTACCCTCTTTCCCTAACCCAAAAGGAGAGAGAAAAAGAGATAAAAAAAACCTTAGAAATTCCCGAAATTAGGAAAATTACCCAAAAATAAAAAAAATAGGAAAAACACTTCGAAAATTTCTAAAAATTTAGAAAAAATCCCAAAAAATTAGAGAAAATCTCAGAATTCTTATTCAACCTTTGAAGATCACAAAACCGTTAAAAACCAAGAAAATTCTCCTCTAGACCCTAGGAAGACCGGTTGCTTTAGAAAAATCTCTAGATTAAAAACCCTAGAGAAGATAGAAACCCTAGCCTCCTGAAGTCCTAACCCCAAGGCTAAGAAAACCTAGACTTAGGGCATAAAAACTCTAGATCAAACCTAGACCTAGGACAGAATAACCCCAGTGTCGCCCCAATTCAAAGGTCTCAGAAACCTCTGGAACTTTATAGATCTGTTCTAGGGACTCTTTTGTGACTGCACAAAAATTCAGCTCAAAATAAAATTTTAAAAAATATAAATTTTTTTTTTTTTTTCAGTTCAATCTGTGCTTTTTTATTTTACCTTATTTTAATTTATTTCATCATAAATATTTTTATTTCCTGCTTCTTCCACTTTAAAGTAGTCTTATTTTATCAAGATTAATAAGATAAAAATATAAAAAAATAAAAAATAATATTTTTTTGGGCGACACTAGCCGTGTCGCCCACCCTGCAAGGGTGACACCAGTAGTGATGCTTGGGCGACACCACTTGTGTTGCCGAACCGTAAGTGTCTCAAAAAAATTCTGGGACTACCACAGGACCATTCCAAGGACTTTTGGCTCCCTGCTAATCAATTTTTGGCCTTAAAATAAAATTTTTAAAATATAAAAAGAATATTTTGCTTCAGATAAATCTATTATGTTTCTGCCCTTTTGATTTTATTTTAGTTTGTTAATTTTAACTGAAATTATATTTTCCCTGCTTTCACCATGCTTAGTTTAATTGTGTTTCATCAAAATTTAAAAGATAAAAAATAAAAAAATAAAAAAATTTCATTAGGGTTGCTTACCCCTCCAAACCTAGATTCACTCTTTGTCCGAGCCGAAACTCGTGAACCATCTAGTCTAGATCTTAATCTAGGTTCTAGCATAGGTCTAAGCTTAAGAGTTGTCTCAAGAGCTAGACTAGGCTTACCCTAGTTCAGGGTCTTAACCAAAATCCATTGAGTCTAGTAAGTCTAGGTTCGAGTCTAGTCTTAGCCTAGGTCTTAGCTAAGGTTTTTGCCCTTAGTCTCAGGCTAGGTTTGCCCTAAGTCATCGAGTTTAGATCATACCTAAGTCTAGATTTTAAAACCCAGGTAAAATCAATCACCATGTTAGTCACTCTAGGCGACCATGATGACTATTCCACAGCTGACTCTAATCCTAACCTGCCCAAACCTAGGGACCAGTATGCTGTAATCCCTTGGAGTTATCGACAGACCTCAGGACAATCCATTATTCAATGCTCAACTCTTCAATTAGAGGTAGAGTCACAAGCATCCACTCCTAATCTTGAGATCTGTGTGGCCCGAAAAGCCGGCTCTGTAAGAAAAACCTTGAATAGTTAGGGAGTCCGACCAGGCATCGTCCTATAGGGGATTTTAGGCAACCAAAGTAGAAGTTGAATGAGAGAAGAAATTCATGTAACATCTAAAGCCAATTCTCGTAACTCGAACCAAAATAACTCTGAGGTGCAGCAATCTTAAAACCAAGACCCACCAAGGTCTAGGGGATCTAACCCCCCTCTAGTCACCATAGTACAGCTCATGATGGAACACTGTACGAAGAAGAGGTGTCGACTCAAACCGACCCTTAGGCGAGATAGGCGTCCAAGCTACCCTCAAAAGTCTAGTTGACCTAGGTTACACTATTCATGCCCCAGCTTATGGGTCGATCCCAAACCAAGTTAGTGGTATAGGTCAACCCTTAGCACAACCGAGTTAGCCGATTCTTCAATCGGTCCCTTTGGTTCATCCGATTCAGCAAACCGTGCAATTTCAGCAACCGATGACGACACATATAGGTCAGTCTGCCCCTCAGGTACCAATGTATCAAACCACCCCGGTGACTATGACTCGTCAATCTCAGGTCCATGCAGGCCAACATATACCCCAAGTTTCAACTTATCAGACTACGTTTGGGAACCCACCAACCAGTGGGCCTACTGTCATGCTAAATACTCAACAAGAAGGCACCTTAAAAGCAATGTAGGATATACTTGTAAGAATGGGCATGCATGAAATTCTACCCCCAAAAGCCTTTGTTCATGAGACCTTTGGAGGCATGAAAGACCTTCCTCTGGGATTTGTCGTCCCAACATTTAGAAACAAGTTCAATGGGAAGAGCGATTCAGATACTCACGTCAATGCGCACCTCCTCTCCATTTGAACTTTATGAGACATGCCTAACCAACTGAAGGCCATCTTTTCGCAAACATTGATCGGTGAGGCCTTGAACTGGCATCAGAGAACAATGTTCACTTGACCACACATCACTCTCGACAAAATGATCAACCTATTCGTTTGTCATTACCGCGGGTCGACACGGAGACCTCTCTCCTTGGGCGAACTCAGTGCAACAAAATAAAACCCAAGAGAATCCTTCAAGGATTTCATCGGTCGATTCTGCGAGGTAGTAATGCGGGTCGTAGAATATCCACTTACATACCCAGCCAAGATCTCCATAGTCTTAGAGAATGCTGCACCTGAGTACATGACCTTCTCCAGCTAAGGTCTTATCCCCCACTCTTTTGACTCTATGATCGAGTGGGTGGCGAGACATGAAAGGGCTAGAGGGACACCCCTCAGCACAATGCTGAACAACAAGCTGATAACATCTCCCTAAAATAAGAACAAAAACAAGGGGAATGCTTTCGGTCATGTTAATGAGATCATCGTTAACGGATCGGCCCAAGGTTTAACCTCTTAACACAGCAATCAGAATTAAAACCGAAGGGATTAGCCTAGAGCTTATGCTCAAAATAATAACCAAAGGCAAGAGGATAATTTCACCCCTCTCAAAGACCCATTAGAAAAAGTGTTGGAGTTACTCTTGGCTAAGAATATGGTTTATCTCCCACCACCATCTGAACCACCATTTCAAGTCACGGATAAGAGTAGGTAGTGTAAATGACATCAAAACCATGCTCATGATACTCAAAACTGTATATATTTGAAACAAGTGATTCAAGGGTTAATCAATAGGGGGACATCACTA